GACTGGTGACTGGCCCCTCAGACAGAGCAAGAGGGCTCTGCTTTGCCGTGGCCCCTCCACTTCCATGGCCTGCTTCCTGCACACCCTTCCTTGCCCGGCCCTGTAGGTACTTCAGGGCATGAGCCTCGCTTAAGGAGCCTAAGATCTTGCTTAAGGAGAAGAATCCAAAGGGAGGGAGTAAGCTTCATGCAGCATTTCGGCATAAAAACAAAAGCTCCTTTTCCTTCATACACAACCACTGGGCTTGGCTTTAACAACTGTGGAAGCTGAGCCCTGTTGCCTCCATGCAGGTAGGAGCCCCATGCCCTGGAGCAGAAACCCGAAGGTGCATGGGAAGAAGGAGTTTTCATCCATCCATGAAACCTTTCTCTTTCTCCCAGAAACAGCCACTGAGATCTCTATCTGCTATCCGGGGCTCAGGGTGGACCAGCAGACGTGTGTCATTTCCCTGAATAGGGGCTATAATGGCAACATTGTGCTAAGTGGAACAAGAGACGTTTTCATTGCAGCCAGCATCAGGCAGATACCCGATCAGAGGGCTCTGGGGATCACCCCACACACAAAGGAGCATGGGAGAGGGGTCCTGAGCCAAGGAGAAGCCACACATCCACAGCGGCACACAGGGGCTGGGCAGCACAGCGGCGTGTCTCCAGAATGCCTGGTCACAAGTTCACTTCCCGCTGCAAATAAATAAGCAACTACGACAATCTCAGAAGACAAATGGGACTGCCAGGACACATGCATTAATAGAAGCCAATACTGGCAGGCCTCACACACCCTTGAGTATGTTTTCACTGACTTATAATAACAAATACTTATTACCATTTACTAGGCATTGGGCACTGTGCTAGGTTCTAAGGATCTAGCAATGAGTAAGACCCAGCGCCCACTCACAGCATTTGCAGTCTGGCGGGGGACGGGGAAGTGTAGGGAAAGAAGCACATAAAAAATTATATACTATTGACCCAATGGAAGAAGTGAGATTCACACAGCAATGAAGTTGACTCAGGAACCCAGATGTGAGCACCCATCTGTTGTTTTTCTTACTCTTCCTGAAGTCTCCTGAGATCACTGCAGGCTCAGTGAAGAAGGCACCCCAAACACCATAATAAGAAATCTGGACTCTCCACTGAGGGCCAGGGGGAGCCATCACATATTTTTAAGGGGGAAGTTGCATGGTCTGATTGGGATCATGGAATGGTCACTCTGTTGGCCATGGTGGTAGCAGTCCCTAGAGGTAAGGTGACAGGTTAGGAGGCTAGAGTATGTTTCTCTCCCTGAAACAAATAGTCCTGAGCCTCCAAATTTTTCTTTCCCAGGGTTTCCCAGTTCCAACTGATAAGCTAAGAATGAGACTAGGGAGTATCATTTGTTTTCACAAGACTGGGAGCAGGAGGGATTTGAAAGCTTTCTTCCTGGTATTGTTCACTAGGGAAAAATTTGATATCTTCTTACAGAGTTGGAGCTCCCCACATAGAATTCTTTAGACAAGAACCAGGCAAACCTGGAAAACTTGGAAGTGAGCACAGTAGGTAATGAAAGGGAAGATATGAGCCAGATTCTAAAAATCCTTGCCAGAGAGTTGCACTCAAAATGAAATGGAAAGGGGAAGAGAAAAGCAGGTACTAACAACCTCCATTCTCATCCTTGCCCTGATACTTGCCCTATAACCCACGATCCAGCCAACCTGAACTGCTTCACAGACATGTCCTGCTACCTTGGAGCTCAATGTCTTTGCTCGCACTGCTCTTTGCCCATAACGTTATCTCCTCATTACACATTCTCAGTTGCCCCCCTTCCAAAGGTCTGTCATCCATTACAGCCTCTATGATTAGTAAAAAAGTCTTGCTTTGTCTGATGGACTCTAAGACCACTTTATTTCTCCTCTGGTACTTTTCATACAGTAATTTTTATTATATTATTTTATATGTATCTATCTTCTCTACTAGATTGTATATTCCCTAAGGGTGGGAATCATTCCTACTTAGCATTTCTTCTCTCAATAGAAACTTGCACAGAGTGCAATCGATATTGCCTAAGTGAATTTATGGACAGTGTGGATTGTTAGTTTTTATGAGGAATAAAGAACTCACTAAAGGAAACTTACAGAAAAAAAAAAAAAAAA